TGACACGGTGATTATGGACTTCCTATGGAAAGTCAGGAGCCATTGAAATTAGCTGCTAAAGTCTTACCTGAGTCCACGGAGAGGAGGATTTTGGCTCTGAGAGCTTTGGGAGGGACGGCCGAGCGGCTGCCCACGTCGCCGCTTTCCCTAGGAAGTGCCCGAGCAGCAGCCCAGGCAAACAGTAAGTTCCAAATTAAAATTTAATCTGGCTGAACACTGAGTGGGAAACAAGAAGTGAAAACTGTCAGCGGTGCCCAGATCCATTCAGATCACTTCTAGGGGGACGGTTTTGATACCAAATTATCCTTGTTATGCAAATTTCCTCACCAACCGGCTGGTTCCCGGTTGCACGCGGGGAGAAGCGGCGGCCACATCTGCTTCCCGTTTCGCCCTGCCGGAGCGGAGCCATCTGTGCAGCCCCGGCGCGCGCGGCCTGCGCCGCGCCGATTAACTTCCTCACCCGCCAGCCCCACGCTCGCTCCCCGCTGCAAGGGGCAGATTTTCCTTTCCTTTTCTTTCCCGCCTCGTTTCTAACTGCTCCCAAACCAGAGCCCTCCAGAGCAGCTCCCCTGAGGGCAGGAAGGGGTTGGGTTGTGTGACTCGTGGCCGCCGCTGCCCCCCTAACCCTATGTGTGGTTGGCACAGATAAAAGCGGGAATCAATCCTGCCGTGGCCCCGGGGTATCCTTTAAAGCAGTGAGGGCCGACTTTAAAAAAACAAAGCAAAATCAACAAATGAAGTGAGTAAACAAAGAGGAAGAAGTCAGCAAAAGCCTCGTGGGGTTCGCGGCCCCGTGGCTTCGCCCGGGCCGCTGCGCTCCTTCTCCTGTGTAGCACAGGAGCGATGCGTGAGGGCCCGAGCTGTGGCCCTTTCCATCTCTCGCTCTTATCCCTCTCATGAGAAAAAGCTATTCCCATTTTCAAGGAAGCTCTGAAGTTTGCCCCTTCACTGAATATCCATCTCTCGGCACCGGATTTCCCGCAGTGTCGCGTGTCCGTGGCTCCCGGAGGTTTGAATGGGAATCAAGGCCTACCCGAGCAGCAGAAAAGCTGGACCAAAAATGAACCCCCTGGGTCCTCAGTAAGTGAGACAGATGATGAGGCTCCTTTTCAACATTTTAAACTTCCCCTCCCTACTGTGTTTCATGACACCAGGGCCAGAACTTGTTCTCGTGCTCCGTTTTTCCCTCCAGACTCATGTCCCTTCAGTAGCTCCTGCTTCATGGTGGCAGACAGGGCGCAGTTGCTCCATGGCAGGTAGGGAGCAGCTCTCCAGGAATGCCAGGAACAGATTTTTATTTTCAGAAATCAAACATTTTGATTTCAGTTGCCGCATTTTCAGCTTTCAGTTTGCCACAGCTCCTTGAAATCTTGAACCTTTCGCTGAAACCTCTTCTCTGTCTAGACTTGGGGCCAACTGCTAAAACCATGTAATATCTGCATTGGTGCTCATTCAGTTTTCCCCTAATAAAATATTGAGGGTGTGTGCTGTGCTTTTTCTACACCTAAATAAATAAATATGTAAGTAAATAAATAAATAAATAAGTAAGTAAGTAAGTAAATAAATAAATAAATAAATAAAAAGGGAAATTGTTGCCTTATCAAATCTGTGTGCTCCAAGTCTCTCTCCAAGCACTTGGGAGAGAGCTGATCTTCTAAGGGAGTATGGGGTGTTTTCATGTACTTCTTGCTTGCAAAGACTTGTAAAGAAAATTCTGGCTGCTGGACACATCTAGAACACACTGGTTTGATGTTTCGAGGCTCACGGGGTGATTGGGAAGCCTCTCTGGGGGCACAGGGCTGAAAACACCGCTCGTAGTTGCATGTTTGTGTCTGCGTCAGACTTCACGTCTTGGAACCTACAGCAGTTCCTGCTTGTTCAGCTTGTTCAAGATGAGGGACTAGCTAAAAATAAAGATTGTTTCAAGGAAAGCCCTTGAAACATGACAGATATGCAGGGTATGCTTTCAGCTACTCAAGCTTTCATTTACATCTGTGGATGCCTCTACTGAAGCTCAAGGATTTAATAACGTTGACTGAGAATTATTATATGTGATCTAGTACCATGATTGGTGTCTGACAGCTTGCATTTGCCCTCCAGGAGAGCCACCTGCCGAAGCAGAAGTTTGCAGTTCATCTTGGTTGCAAAAGAACTCTGTCAGGATCATTAAAAAAAGGAGCACATTGAAACCTCTCTTCTTGAAGAGGGGCTGTAGTTTATGACCAATCACAGTATCTTGTCTCACAGAAACTTGAGAAAAATCTAGATTTTGGGAACCTGTTAGGATTGCTCGTTAGATTTTTCTTTTTCCTTTTATCTCGTTTTACTCGCAAGGTGTCACCCACAGCAGTGCTTCGGACACTTTGCCAGCCGCATTCCTGCCAGGCACAGCGGCGGCCGCTGCTTCCCGGCTCCGTGTGCGAGGAAAGGGCCGGTGCTGGAATCCCGGGGAGCCGGAGATGGCGGCAGAGGAGCCCCGACCTCCCGTGGGGAGCAGCAGAGGCGGCGGCTCCTCCGCGCGTTGGGCTCCCCCTTGGTGCTCCCTCCAGAGCGCCTGCCCTCCTGCCGGCACTGCCGCCCGGATCCCACTCGGAAGCACCGGGATGCGGTCCTGGCAGCCCCGGCCCTCAGCGCTGCCCTCCCGCCATCCTCGCTGCTCTCACAAGACACATCTCGCTTTGCAGACAGGGGTTAGTTGCGTTTCAAATTTTTATGAAATTCGCTTCATATTTTCTTTTTTTTAAATACAATGTTGTCAAAGAAAAATGATCTTACAATATAAAATCACAGCAAAAAAAAATAATAATACAACTCTTCTATTAGAAAAGGCAGTGCCGGGGAAGGCTTGGGAAGCAGTTTTGTTTTAAAAACAGATATAAACTTAAAGCCATTCATCATATTCACTCCTTTTAGGGTCGAGCTAAACCATACAGGGTATTGCACCAGCACATATAAGAGAGAAAAGGGGGAGGTTACATTAAACTAGTCTTCTAAGGGCACGGGTTGTTTAGATGTACATACAGAAACAGCCTGTTTTCATGCCTTCCTTGCATGTTCATAAATACCGAAACATTTGTTGCCCAACAACTTTAGGATGAATTTGTGCAAAACCAGAACACCCAACAACAAAAAAGAGCCCCTTCCCAACCAAGCAGTGCTCCTTTGCTTGCCTTTTGACGCCACCCTCTGATACACTGTATTGTAATAAACTTACTGGTGCTACTGTACTGCTTAATATACAACATGACCATCCCGTGGGGTATAGTGTAACTGGGAAAACCGCAGGCTCAGGAAGCAGAGCCGCTGCAGCCGGCAGAGCGTGGCCATGCGGTGCAAACCCTTTGGAGAGACGGGCAGATTCGTGGGAAAAGGGAAAGGAGATGAGGGGCACAACCGCAGAGCGGGGCACGTGCATGTCAGCCAGCAAGTGCCACGGCCTCACACACGGCTGTGCAGGTAAGTGCCACAACACGGAACCCGCCCGGGAATCAGGAATTATCCTCAAAATACCGGTATTTTCTCAAACCTCTCTGTAAAGGCTACGCCCAGGACTACGTTGAACTCTACTGGAGCTGTGCCTGTTTACATGAATGATGAGTGTGGTTTTATTTGTGCTCTTATTTTTTAATTTTAGTTAAAGACAAGCTTCCAAACAAGCTCTCCCCCAAAGTGAAGGACTAGAAACCCCAGCTATGGCATGTGTAGTGGCCTAGCCCTATGAGCAGAGAAGTGGTGTGGCAGTAGTGAAGGCAGCGTGCTGCTCTACAGTCCCATCAGATGTCATGGAAGAGAAGCTACAAAATTCCCAAGTCCCTTTCTGGTCAGACCCACTTGAAAGGTGAGAGGACGGAAGAAGGCATGAATTTATCCTTCCCAACTATGGACAGTAATTTAAAGTTTGACTGGTAACTAATAATCTTATGACCAGAAGCCCTTTGGCTGGTGCTCGACGTGCCTTCCCAGCGCCTTTAAGCGCTGCTTCCACGTCGCACGTGCAGCCTCTTTGGAAGGCGGGCCGCTGGGAGCTTGGATGGCGGCATCATCCCTGGGCCCAGACCTTCCGTGGCCTCCTCTCCGCGCTGCGCTGGGCTGGGGGGCCTCAAGCAGCGGGGTCTCCTTCAGCACATGGGCTGTGGCACTGTGGGAGGGGGCGATTTCCATATGGGAGCACGGGAAGGACCCTGGTTAGTGCAGAAACAGAGAGCTCAGGGTCTGTGCAGGTGACTCGGCACCGCAGCAGCAGCCGCAGCCGCAGCAGCCGCAGCAGCAGCAGCAGCAGCAGCAGCAGCCGCAGCAGCAGCAGCAGCAGCAGCAGCAGCCGCAGCAGCAGCCGCAGCAGCAGCTCTCCTCCCTGCAGCGTTACTCCCAACTCACACCTGCCTAAGTGAAAGCACAAGGAGGAACTCCTAATAATACAGATGTATATTAAATATAGCTAAGCACGTCAGGCCAAATTGTGCTACAGCTACAAGGGCTCGCAGGTCCATGAGGGCTCCTGCAATGGATACGGGTGCACGTGCTTGCAAGTAACAGAGACCCTCCAGCTGCGTCACACAAGTGCACATCTTGGCGGCTCTGTGATATTCAGCAGTGGACACTCCGCACTTCCCAAAGCAGCGTGGCAATATTTATAGGCTAAATAGGCTAATTGGATGGGTTACTTTTATTTTATTTTTACAAATGTTGCCTGGGAAATATTCCAGGCCTGATGGGAGATGTTTTTGCAGCTGCATGAATTTCTCTGTTGCCCAATCTTAAACCAGGAGGGTGTTCAGGGAGTGGAATGAGCTGTCTGGAAGAGGAAGTTAAGAAGTTGTTAAAAAAAAAGTCAAAAAAAAAAGCATTTTTTTTTTTTTAATATGAGCTGTGTTTGGGGTTAAAATCTGTTCTTTTCATTACAAACCAAAGTGAAAATACCCACAGCAGCACATACCACAGAGAAGGCGCTCCATGGATTTTGCTGGGCTCTGCAAAGCGCTACCTTCTCTGGTCTCTGTTCAGCAAAACACTGAATATTTAACCCTCAGATTAGTTCTGCTGAAGTCGATATAACTTAAAGAACATGCAGAAGTGTTTTGTTGAGTAGGAAGCCTGGGTGCTCAGGACCTGGGCAGGGCCTGGTCCCTCCTTAAACAGCAAGCACCAGGGAAGGGGGGAAAGCTGCAAGTTTTGCCTGTTTGGGTTTGAGAATTCAAATTAATTCTTAATTTCTGATTTGAGAATGAAATCAGATGCAAGATGTCCAGTTAGAGCCACCACATTCACCTGAGGACTTTTTCTGTGCAGGCAGAATGGGAATTTCTCACATGTAGAAGAGGGACACCTGGATATTTTCCAGGCAGTGTGAGATGATGCAAGGTGTGCATAAGGAGACGTGGCCTGCACATACTGGTAGCTAGAGCTTTCCCCAACTGTACAACCACACTTTTCAACATGACTACAACCTAAAAAAAAATTAAATACATCATAGCTGTCATTTATGCAGAGGGAGGAGGGAGGGTTTTTTTTCCCGTTTAAAGAAAAGAGGGGTTTTACTGGACATAAAACATATATTTAAAGAAAAAAACAAAGAGGCAACAAAACCTTTTTCTATACATTAAATGCAATCCATACTTCACAGAGTGTCTTACAAGGGTGTTTCCTGTGTCTTGCAGCTACCTGCTCTCCTTCCTCGTGGCCAGCAGGGCCTGCCAGGGCACCGGTGCGCGCAGCACCCTCACACGTGGAGACGTCCTGCTCTTCACTGCCAGGAAAACTCAGGGCCCCGTGGCTGGGTGGCACCCCAGCCTCCGAGCCCCACGGGCCCTCCATCTCTCCTTGAGTCTCATCTTCCTAAAGGAGCCAAATACTACCAGGAAGGCAGGAAATGCACACGTGGTGCAGGAGCCCCATGCTCCGTGCAGAAGGCCAGGCCCCTCGTGGCCGTGGTGCTCTCACCCGTGCTGTGCACTCTGCGTGGCGGGAAGAGGTTGGGCAAGGGAGGGCTGCAGGAAGCAACAGCAAAAGGAAAGGGCCTTCAACTACGTGACTACAAAAGCTCCTACTTACATTACTAAAAGTTTTTGGTGGCCAAATGTTTTCAATAGAAACTTTAATACTCGTTTTTAGAAAACTGAGTTGCAATGCATGCTACCAAAAGGGAAAACTTTTCTGGTGGGAGAAGATATCTGAATGTTTCTGATGGTTTTGTTACTTGTGCTGTCCACTAGACTTGTGCTTTGTTGCTGCTGTTGCTCGTGCAGCCGCCGAGGCTGGATCCGTGCCGGGGGAGTTTTAGCTCATGTGGAAACGATGCTCCCCTCGGGTTATGTGGGAAGAGAATTCATACCTGTCCTGGCTGTGGTAGCCACACATGTTGCACTCGAAAGGGTCGCGGAAGCCGTGGCAGCCCATGTGGATCGTATACATCACGTGGTCCAAGAAAAGGACTCGACAGTGTTCGCACTTGTAAACTTTCACTTGCTCCCCGCTGCTGCTGATCACTTTGAAAGCATCCTGGGAATTGTCAGTGCCTGCCCTCAGGACGTCGTACTGCCTGTTCTCCTCTTTTATAGACAGGCCATTTCTGGCGTGGGGCCCTATGTGATTGGTCAGGTAAATCAAACCACTGCGTTCCTCGTTATTGCTCTCCGTATCCGTTGAGTCTTGGCAGCTGTTGCTGGGAGAGGCATCCCGTTCGGAGGAGACAGATTTGGCTTTGGAAAGCAGCAACAAGTTTTCCACCGCGCTGTCCTGAGCCGCATGGTTGGGGCGAGCCTGACCGTCCCCGAGAGGTTTGTGGAGCTGATACATGGAGCTGATGACGGGCACCACGTCGGAGCCGCCCGGCGGGGTCTGCACGAGGGGGCGCAGGGACTCGGCGCCCAGGTAGCTGATGGCGTTGTTAATGGCCTGGTCTATCACGTGCGTCTGCATGAGCTCGTTCTCCTTCTCGTAGTTGGCCGTGGCATCGTACGGGAGGTCAGACAGACACTTCTCGCCTGAGTGGAGAAAGGGGGCAGAGTTAGTGGCTGCTTGCTGCTTAGTTAAGGAACCAAATAGAACCAAAGAGCAAGGGTTAATAAAACAAAAAAAAAAAAGAGCTTAAAAGAGATTGCCAAATCTGCATTTCAGGTTCACCTGTGGTGCTCACACTTCCTAATAGAGCTGGTCACAAGACTGGTTGGTGGTTTTTTTTTTTTTTTTAATTGCGAAATAATTTGAGGCTCTTGGCAAAGCTTATGAGACAAAAGAGATTTTTTTGAAATAATCATGGGAGAATTTGTGGGGCTTGCAAGTCAAGTGCCTTATCCTTTGAGATAAAGGGATTTTTTCACCTTCTTGCAGTATGGCCAGTCTTCACTGCTAAGGAAGACCAGGGCAGCTACAGAGAGCCTGGGAGCAACAGAGCATGGAGCACGGCATCAATTTTTTTCATAAAACACTAGATTTTTAGACTGAAGAGTGTTTCTTTCAGTTTGAGACATTCAGTTTCTTACAAATACCTCACATCAGTAATAGGCACATAAATCATTTTGGGAAAAATCTAGCTAGTCAAAAATGTAATTTTTCGTATGCCACCCCTCTTTTTCTAAATGCTGTATGGTAGAAGCTCCACAAAATTTTGTGTCAAAAAGTATAAGCCACAACAGCAGCCGAGAGGCATAGAAAACATTTAATTGCACGTGTAGTGGGAATATATTTTTCCAGTTATGTTACAAGTCACTTACAGAGCAAGTTTACTTGTAACTTAGAATTTTGAATCTGATTTGAGTTAAAAAAGGGAAAACTGCATTTTATTTTTTAATCAGCACTAAGATATTTCTAGCTGTACACCCCAGTATTGCATGCTGAATATCACTAGTATTTTTGAAAATTTCTCAGTATTAGGAGGAAGCAAAACATCAAAAGTAGGAATTGGGAGAGAAAAGAAAAAGAATTCAAAGCAAAGATGCTGAGTTTATGATCCTGAGTAGTTTTCTCAAATAGTATTTGTAAAACATCAGCACTGGTTTTACAAATCAAGTCTCTAATAAATCTATACAAATGAAAAGGGATGAGAAATTCCTAAACGTTCCCTACGTGTACTAGGAATAGTACATTATTTACAGCTTGGATCAATTAGCTCTGCAGGTTTGGGGGAATTCAGGGGAAGCCAGAAACATCTCTAGAAGGTCTGTCCTGCTGTCACTCTTCCCTAGACAATGTGACATTTGTTTGTTGGATTGAGAGAGGAAGATGCCCGCCCTCCTCTTTCCTAAAATTCCCAGCATATAAACGACTCTGTAAAATACAATTTAATCAGTCATTTTTTACAAGGGAAATTTACTAGGAATGCTGCAAAATAAATTTAGCAACTGTTTCCCACCCAGTTTTTACCCAAACAAAATATTCTAAGAATTCAATGAAGAGCAAGAGCACAGACTAGAAGGCTTTTGGCATCAAATCTTGCAGGGTCGGGGCTAAAGGGCAGGAAGTCCTGCTATCTACGTCCTCCAAAAAACATGCTTACACATCAGTCTGTCCATGCTCTACAAGCAAGGAAAGAAATAGTGCTCCTAGCATTGCATAAGTGTCTCACGGGATGTAGAGTTAGAGGCATCTTCTGGCTCCTACAGTGCATGACCTGCTGCTTCTTCCCGTTTCCTTTTCCTATATTCTGCCAATTTGAGCACCCAACAAGTGGGGTGCATTCTTTTTTCCAGATTTACCCTTTCTAATGCTACAGTTTTCAGGCAGAGCTTAAGGCTGAAGTTTAAAAAGAGGCTGTGAAAAAGCTCCTGGATATTTGGAAAAACTCTCTTTATATTAATCTATTTCTTTTGCTCAATGAGAGAAAATGCAAGGTAAAAATCATTTGTATTCCATGCGCACTGTGTACCACTGAAAAGTTGGACCGCTTTTCATTATACACAACATTTTGGGCATCGAGAAGGCATAATTTTAATAGGTATTTCTTAGCTGGTATTTGCTTTATGTAGCATAACTAGTTGATGGACAAAGAGAATCAGCCACTTATAAGAAAATTTGTTTCCTAGGCAGGCCTGTCTGAAACTCACACAAACTGGAGGTAGGCTGCTATCATTTCTGCATCTGGGAAATGCAGATAATACTTGCACTCATTAAAAATAATAGCTCATTTTTGTGGTTATTAGAGCATAAGTAAATTAAACTGCTAGTGGTTTGTGGCACTTGAAGCTTCGCCCCGTTCAGGGTTCTGCAGCAGGTACTGAGGTGGGAGCTGCAAATGCACTTGAGCGCATGAGGGCTTTTTAATTTTTATCCCCTCTCTTTTCTCTGTGGCCTATTGTTTTGACATGATAAACGTGTCAATCTCACTTGCAGTTTTCACTCTCTCGTCTAAAAGGCCCAGTTCTGCTTTCCGACCTGGGAGCTATTCCAGTTTGGAAAGCAGCTTGCCACATGAGAGGGCTTCACGGGGACTTTCACTGTCAAAAGAATTTTACTGGCTTAATTTGGGGAACAGTCTCAGTTTTGAAAGGTAATGGATTTAGCTGTGAGACCAACATGCGGAGCAGCAGAGAGGCTTCCTCTTAGTGCAGGATGCCACGTGCTCCTTCCCTCTGGAGTTCAGCAAAGGCCCTGGGAGGACAGGGGGTCTCCGGGCCTGCGGCCCCAGCCTTGCGTTCATCAGGAATTTATCCCTCACATGGAGCAACAAGTGAGGAGCGGGAAGGAAAGGATTTGGGGGCTTCTCGCAGAAGTCCCTCTTTTTTGAAGACATTTCCACCGGTATCCGCAGTGCGGAGCTTGTCTCTTCCTAGGCCACGCCCCCAGCAAGTAACGGGCAGGAACCGCTGCCCTCCTGGCCGGCCGTTAAACTGCCGCTCTCCAGTTAAACCGCCCCGCTGCTGCTCGTCGGGGCGCAAGGAGCCAGTGGAAACAGCGAGTCTACGGCTACAGCTACCGCACATATAGGCTGTCTCTTGGCGTTTTTATAAATTTATTTCTAACACTTCTGGTCTTCCCGGAGTTTACACTGAATTCACTTTTTTTTTTGCCTTATACCCTCAGTCACAAAGGTGTTTAAATGAATCTGTTTTGTCCCCCTTAAATATATTTTTGCCGACTACTGCTCCTTCCTTCAGTCCTGAGTGCTGCCATTTCTTACTCTTCTGTTTTCTCCTTCTTAATCAATGTATTTTTGCCGACTACTGCTCCTTCCTTCATTTGCAAGTGCTGGCATTTCTTACTCCTGACCATCTCCTACAGTTGTAGCTTTTGTACTTGCAGGAAATCTTTGACTTTCATTTCAAACTTTTTGTTCTACCTCCTTTTCCTCATCCTAGAAATACTGATCTTCCTTTCACTTTTATGTCCTTCTAGAAAAAAAAAGTATATTTGGTATTCTTGTCCCATCAAGTGGTCTATTTTTTTGTCTTGACTTTTGACTAAAGACCTTCTTAATGTATATTTTTTCAAAAGACTATTTTTCTCTGATCACCTCCTACAGGAGCATATTATAAATGAATATAGAAATAATAATAAAAAACCAACAAAACAGCTACTTATGAGTGTATGCTGTCACCTCACCTCTCCTGATTCATTTCAGACTAATTCTGCATAGCTGATAAAATGTTGTCTATGGGCTGACCATTACAAAACTGATCCAATCATAACTTGGTGCAAGCCATACTCAATAGAAAAAATACATAACAGCCTCTGGTTTTTTTCTTACTAAGACAAGGAAATGTCTAATAAGAAGGACAAAATACAGGTGATCATGAAGTTATTTCACCGCTGCAGTGTTGCACTGCTTCTAGGATGCACCCAAAGATCTTTTCTCTTGTATTTTTTTTCTCAGATCCATGTACATTTATTTCCTTACTCATTATGGTCTAGAAAAGTGTACAGTCTTTGTGAACAAGTGAAAAGGATTATCCAGCCTATGCTCAGCTATTCACAAATGCTTTTACATATACCATAGAATATGCACAAATCCAGATCTCATCCAATAAATTTGTAAAAATAACCCTGAACTTGTTGTCAAATGCTTTCTCACTCAGAAACCTGTATTCCTAGGGCAATCTTGAGGTTCTGTAGGCAACCTCAAGAATCAAACCAGAACTTCTAAAGATCTGGCTCAAAAGCAGTAGAAAAAGATAAGAAGTCTTAAAATAGATCTCCAGATGTGGCAAATTAAAATTATGAAAATGTATACTGGGGAAACTTTTTTTTTTCGCTCAACACATACCTGTAAGTACTGCTAATTTAATAAAACAAGTAAACTCATAAAACAAGAGTGAAAATCCTGTGAGAAGCTTTTATTTGGGGATTTTGCTTTGCTCTTTTTTTTTTTTTTTTTTTTTTTTTGTTAGTTTGTTTGTTTAGGAGACAGCAAACGTTTAACTCTTACCAACGATCTTCTGAGGCATAGAGCTCTTACGTTTGGCGACGTTACTTGCTAGTCTATCCAGCACGAGGGATCTTTCTGACCCTATCTTGCACAGGTCTTCAGCCATTTCACTCTGGCTAGTTTCCTCTTTTATGGCTGAAATCAAATGACATCAGAAGGGTTAGGCACGCTCGTTCCAGTTTAATGGAACCAAGTCTTCAGGTTATTATTTCTTAGCCAGGTTATGATTTCTTGTTGCCTCTTAGCTCCCGGACAGCTGGAAGCAGGAGCTCACCCCTATGGACACAGGCCAGTTCTTGCTACTCTTGAGACCTGACCATCCGCACGCTCACACTTCCCTCCTTGAGGACACAAAAATAAGACACAGGTGGAAGGCATCGGGCTGCAGGGCACCCGATCCCACCGCGCTTGTGCTGCTCCTCCCAGCCTGCCCTGTCCTGCTGTTGTAGCAGAACATTGGGCAATCCTGTGGGCTCCTATACCCATAAATACCTGTGCATGCTACACCAACCCTCCTCCCCCCCCCTTTTTTTTTCTTTTGCCCCTAATAGATATTGTCATACTTTCTTGATGCAGTTTGGGATCGTAAATAACAATTTTGGCTAAATTGCTAACTGTGCTTCTCTACTGGAGCTCTTACTTCTACTCAAGTGTGTTTTCTAACCTCCTGCTGCTGCTAAGATCCTGTAGAGGTAGGAAGGAACTAAGTTAGCAAAGGGAGTCTTGGCTAAGAAGAGGCTCTAAGAAAAGGAGGTTCTGCATTTCACCCCAGCACATCCTTGCAGAAGCAGAAGGCAGATATGAAAATGCATCATAAAAGCAATGGCTCTAGGCAATGTATGGGAAAGTATCTCTGACTTTCACCATTTAAAGAAAATGCAGTATGTGTTGAGAGCACTGCACAAGTCATTCTCTTGGCAGGGAAAGGGGTGTGTGTGAGGAGGTTAATTTTATTCTAGCCTGCTCCTAGGGTATGGATATTCTACCCGAGCTTGTGCATTGGTGTTAAAGTGTGACAAAAAAACCTAATTTGTGGATGTTGGTGCTGCAAGGTATGTGAGTAACTTTGCTCTGTGTTGCTGCGTGCTCCTGCTCAAAATGTTTGTCTTGTCACTGCAGCTCATTGCTGCACCCACCTCGTTGAGAGGCGGGAAAGGTTTACTGAGCCCATTCCTCCCGTACCTGGCTGCTTCCCAGTGGCCAGAGCTGCTATCCTGGTGGCTTCAGGAGAGGAACACGCAGCTCCCGTGCAAGGCTATTTTGGCAATTTGTCCCTGTCATTTTGAAAGCGTGATTGTGAGAGTGTCCTTGCTTCTGAAACATGAGGCTCCACTGGACAGCTGGAAAGAGCAGGCTGGATATGGAGACCAGAACATCCATGTGGCACCGAGCAGACAAGAACATCCCCAAGGCCCCGAGCAGAAGAGCCTAGGAGCAGCTTTGGCGTCACTGCTGCAGCACAACGCGCTGCAGTGACACAGTCACAGGCATAGCTAGTCCTCAGCCCGTTCAGATGCTACAGATTTGAGACCGACACAAGACGTGGGCAGAGTTCGGTAGCAAAACGTGCAGGGCACTATATTGATGGTGTCTAAAAAGCCATAAAATTTGTAGTTAAAAACTGAAAGGATCGAGAAGTAACTGCTTAGGATATAACAACATTCCATCTCAAATCAGTTCCAGACAGGGTAAATTATGGCTTTGACATCACTCAAACTTTTAATACTGCAAATTTAAAAACTGCCATAAAAAAGGGGAAAAATGAATTACATACTAATTTCCAGCCTCCGCAACAGCGAACACAAGAAATTTGCCACCAACCTGGTACCTCTTTGTCTGTAATTTGGTTGGTGGAAACTGGAAAAAAATGCTTATTTTATCTTTCCAAATGAAAATCCACAAGTTACTGAAGGATTGTAATTGATCCTTTTTAAACATAATAAACTTTTTCTTCTCTGCTATTTCATACAGGTATTAGAAAGACCTTACCATGCTTCTGCTAACTCAAATGAAAAACTCCAGCTAATAACTCTAAGAGAAGAACGGTATATGAACGATGAGGTGCTAGTTCTCTAAAGTAAGCACTTTGCCATTTTATGATTTTCAGGCTGCATCTCCTCCTCTTATGGATAGCAAATGAAAAGTTAAAATATCGTATGTCTTGTTCCCTTCCATATTCCTCTTTGCTGGTTCTTTCCTTTATATAAGGACTTTTCCCATAAGCTGATGGAAAGATTTTTCCAATTTAGATTCTTTCAGTTAACTTCTTTTTTTTTTCAGTGAACATTGCACAAAATATTTTTAAAAAGCGATAAAAAGCAATCCTGCTGTAGCAGAATCCAAAAGCTGATACTTCAACAGATTTTTTTGTGTCAACATTTCTGAGTCTGAGAAACAAAAAGGACGTAACTACAACTTTAATAGCTCCCTATCACACCTTGAAATGCCATGAAAACAGCAGTCCTTGCAAGCGGGCTCTACGTGCTTTTCTAAATATAAAAGAGAATGTGTTTTAAAATTCCAGGACACCAATGGAGGCTGCACCGTTGCATTGTGCCCTTTCCTCTTGTGTTTATAAAGCAAATGATGTGAATAGGGAAAAAGGCAGTCCAAACAGGACTGCCCTGTTTGCAGTGCGGGAGAATAGATTGTTCAGAAAGCAAAATACTAAGAAAAAAACTGCGGGCCAGTTAATAATTTGTCCAATTATTAACTGGACAGTAATAAATTATTTTTTCTCTTTTAAGAGTAAAATCTAGGGGCTAAAACAGAATTTAATCCCCTAATTTTCTTTCTGAAATGGAATATGCATGATACTAATAAAAATATTTATGATACTTTCCAAATATATTCTCCCAAAGCATTCATGAATTCACCAAATTTTCACCCCATTGACAGATACTCAGTCCTTTACTACTGTAAATATCTTTTTTATTTTCTGTCATGTTTTGCTATAACCAAACTTCCATCTCTAAAATTTTTGAATTATTTCTTATTAAAGTTTATCATGTTTCTTGCTCACTAAGATTTTAGTAGTAGTTTAGATAGTCATTCGCACCCATCTTAGTGTTTTGCATGCCAGCATTTCAAACTCATGTGGCAGACACTGAAAATTTTAATCCCAGACAAAATATTTTCTTCTAAATCCTATCAATCACCTCTTTGAGGAATAAATATTGATGCTTACAGTATATCACTTAGAGCTTTCTATTTATATATTCTCCAGCCCCCCAGTAAAATTAGAAGGGGCACTGCTCTAACACGTTGTCTTTCAACAGAATCTCAGCTGCATTCACTGCAATCATTATGTGCATATACTTTACATTATCTGATAACATGTAAAAACTTATTCAGGTTCTGTCCAGATATTCAATATTAAATGAGGCATCACTGCAAACAGGTCAGAAAGAACCTTCCATTTTGATGCTTGACAAACCAAATAAAGGATACCGACAGGATCAAAAGGTATGCAAGAAATGTAACTTACTGGACAGGCTGCAGCCTTAAAATCTACCGCAGATTCTGTTTGCAATGCAGTTCTGTATGGCTACTTACTACGATCAAACTCACACATATGAGGCCTTTATTTAAATAAATAAGATCCATTAAAAAAAAATGGGCATAGTTTTAGATTCTGCAGTGGATGGACTTTACCTGTGTGACAAGCCAAGTCTCTCAGAGAAACTTGACTCCTCTGCCCCCCGATTTTGTTTTACATGGAAATTTGTTTGTTAAAGAAGCCTATCAAAATTATTACCCTCTCTGGACTGTCTCAATTAAAGGGGCTAAATTAAGTCCCTCTGTCTTCCTGCCCTCTCGCTTGGAAGCGTGAAATCAAAGACAGATGGCTCATCCTTGTCCTGGGAATTGGTCTCATGGTTCACAGAAGCCCATTAGGCTGTGTCTGGGAAGGGGCAATATAAGCAGATACGCAGTGTAGAAGATTCTCCAGCCCCAGGACACTGATATGCACCCTTTATTAGGAATATGTCCACAAAAGTACTGTAGCACAGGGCTCGAGCAAAACCAAAAGGTGCCGAGAAGATGTAGCCACACTTTGGTCTTCGGATGACGAACTGAAAAGCTCCAGGTCTTGCAAGTGTTTTGCTATATATTTGAGATGTACTTTGGCTTTTTGTTTGAGCTAAGAAAAGCATGACAAAAGCCAGACATTTATATGCAGTATCATATATGTGTGTGTGTGTATTTAATATTCTCCCTCCCTAAAAAAGATGTCTCATACGGTACTACTGTTTCTGGAGCACCCCTTTTGCTAAGCGCATGAGAGGAGAATGTTAGTCCTAGGAGAGACACTTCTGCTGCATGCTGTTACCTGAATAAAGGCTGCTTGAGATGTTCATGGTCTGCAGGTAGTTATGGCAGCGTTCTTTATGTTCTTCCAGAGAGCTGCGCTGCTTATAGCTGCGGCCGCAGTATCCACACTTGTGGGGTTTGCCAACTGCAGAAAATAAGAGGGAAAGATTCAGAGTAGGTATTCAGCAACATATTAACAATGATTTAAGAAGAAGAAAAACACCCCAAAAAAACCCATGCTGTCGCGAGCTGAAGGCACGGTTTGGTATTTAGAAAATAATGGAAAAACAGCTGTAGGTATCTTTTCATCAGCAAGGCAGCTCTGTGGGTGCTGCGAGCTGATTTCAGGTGATTCACATCAGATGTAGATTGCGACCTTAAATCTTCAAAAACAGAGTCTGCAAGACCTGGAAACCAAGACAGTTTCAAAGATCTGAGTGGAGATACTCAGAAGCCTTGCCACCACAAGGAGGGCCAGCAATGAAAACTCTTTTTGTAGGCAGGGACCTGACTGCCACTGGAGGTTAATTCTGCTGGAACAAGACGCACCCCTTGAGCAGAACGTTAGATTTCACAGGCTTTCTTGTTCTCTATTTGTGTAAATTCAAGAGAAATGGCATGACTAAAGCTTTTCTATATAACGATGAACGAGGTTCAGGCAGTTCCAGGAATTTCACAGTAAAAACATGGTTTCATGGATTCCTGGACCTAAATTTTCTGTCACAACATGAAAAGACGGTCAGTTCTTATATGAGTTCATAGTTTTAGATGGTGGCACAACCTAACCTTTGAATTTTTTTTCACAAATTCTCACATGAAAATCAGAATCAGACATCCAACTTTTATTACACGGATTGATGACAATTTCCTAGTTATTGGAACTAAAGAAAACCAGTATTTATAGTGTCCTGCTACCTAGGAAATAGGGGGTAGTTTCATGTAGACATGAGAAATTACAATAAAAATTACTCTGCTACTAAAATCAGCAGGAGAAGGGAATTTTAAATGTGATTTCCTGAGTCAGGCCAGGATCTGCAAGGATAGGAGGACATCTGGGATAAAGACATCTTTTAAAGCATGTCAGAATTGCCTTAGTTTTCTGCAAGGCACAAATGTCACTTGCCAAGCAACCCTTGCACTGTCCCCACTGTCCCACTGTCCCACTGTCCAGCTACTGTCCCAAAGCCAAATTTCACATGTAAAGTTGGTGGCATCATTCCTTCAAGTTTGCCTTGGTTGTCTCTGTCCAAATGACAACCTGCATTTCCCGCTTAGTTGGAGAGACTGTATGAGGCTACAGGCAGACTGAAAAGTCCATCAGAGGTGCTAAACTTTTATTCAAACAGTGAGAGGTTCACATTGATAGAAAAGCCCAAGCATCATGTTTATTCAGATCTCTGTATTACTGTTGAGAGAAGACACTGAACACCTCTAGTTGAGTCCTCTAATGCAGAGTGTCACCTCTCAATGCACTTGTAACAACCAGGCACACGACCAACTACTGCTAAGCACAGTAGGTCGCGTTCACTCCTTATGTAGAGAATCGCAGTCAGATCGAAGAGTGCTGAGATTTCCTGACTTTACCCCTTGAAACTTTGTGGCCGTGTGAGCTCAGCCAGGGTAAGGACTCCTCCGAAGGGCCTCCACGGTGGCCTGTGACCCTCGCTTACCTGAGTGAGTCCTCAGGTGGCCCGTGAGGGCATCCCTGCGGCGGCAGGCGTAGTTGCACAGGTGGCACTTGAAGGGCTTCTCCCCTGAGTGCAGCTTGATGTGGCGGAGGAGGTTGCCCTTCTGCGTGAAGGAGGCTCCGCACTGATTGCACTGGAACGGCCGTTCCCCTGAGGGGAGAAGGAGAAAACGTGTGAGGACAGGAGAACACGCGCGCGGGGACAAGAGGAAGACTTGAGTGAGAAAGTTGTTTTCTCCCTGCTGCTCTGTGACTTCCACCGGCTGCAGGTTTGATACAACACGAGGCTTTCAGACTAAACCTGCCAGTTTCTTAATGCTTCACTGGCTGGGTCAATTTGATCTGAAAATCTAATTTTTTTTTTCTAAATCAGAATGGCACATCACAATGCAAATTCAAACTCATTTAAATAAAGTGACTGCAACATTTTGTGTTGAAGAGCCACTCTTCCTGATCAGCAGTTTTGGAATAAACCAATATCCAATTTTGCATGTTGTGGCATTTGGTGGGGTTTTTAATGTAGCTTTTTTCAAAGGGTCTTTAAAATATGCCACTGAAGCAGCAAAATAAAAAGGAAACTCATTAAAAATGCATTTCAGGATCACAAGTTCATTTCAGCGTTACATTCTTATATTTAAATGAAAGGCACTTCATTATAACAGTTATAATAACTTCTTTTCATTTACATTTTCCCTGTATTTTCCCTTTCAATTTCTTCTCCATTACCTGTCTGTCCCTAAGCAGCCAAATCAGGAAAGAGACAGAGAAAGCGAGCGAAAGCGAGCGAGCAAAATCACCGAAGTTGAGACAGGGCAGAGGAAACCCAGCGCCTCCGCACTCGGGTCCTGCTTCAAGCCAGGTGTGATGGAGGATGTGCAGAAACGGGCCCTGCTCTTCCATGCTTTGGGAGGGCACAGGGGAAAGCTCTAAGCAAGGCAGGCTTCGCTTGTGGGAATCCGTGCCCACTTGCAAAGCACCACGTGGGGCTGCCCTCGCAGAAGTTAATACGACTCTGGGCTCTCAAGGCTGTTGGGAGCGCATTAATGTGCTCGTTTGCACATTTATTTCTGGTTTAAGGAAGATGTGGGCTTTTCTTAAGTTACTGGGAAAGAAAAGTTGTCTCCAATTGCACCAGGCAGGAACACAGGACAGAATTTATACGTGTAAAAACTCCATCAACAGGCACCTCACCTGCAAGCCTTTTTCTTCTAAGAGATACAGCCCTTGACCAAGTCTAACCAGCTAAATTCTAGCTCTCTTAGGCATAAATGTAATACGCTACAGTAATTATAATATAGCTACAATACACAAAATACTTCAGGGATGACCTGTTCTTAGTTTTGATTTTCTTTACGTAACCGTAATATTCAATAAAAATTCCAGGGCAGAAGTAAAAACTAGAAGAAGTTAAAAAAGTAAAAACCAAAACCCTAGAAATGAAACTATCCCTTTCTTCTCTCTCCCTTGATCATCATTTTTTATTTTGTGTATATCAGGCCAGCTTGTATGTATATATGTGCACATAATCATTCCTTACTTTTGGATAATGCAGAAGAAAAGTAGCGGCATCATCCCAAAGAAAAATCTGCCAGCTCTACTGTATCAGGGTCGCCAACTTCAACTGTCAGCTGACAGTAAAACAAATGTGTTTTATGGCAAGAAATATTCATGAATTTATTTTACGGCAAGATTTACCTTCTTTACATTCTGATTTTGGGCACATATACTCCCTGCAAAAGGCATTTTTCAGAAAGGGACTGAAACAGTGGTAAGTCATCTTGTAAGGAGGGACACAAATGCAGAAGAGGTGGTTAATTCTTCCTAGGCAGCTTTTCCATTGTTCATTTGAGGTCTTTTTACTCTGAGCAGCACCAGGGGAGAGAACAAGGGTTGCGAAAGGAGGAGACGGGGAGATGCACACAGAGCGAGGAGGACAACGGAGCTCCATCCTGCAGCGCTCACAGCTACAGTGGGAAACCTTGTTCCAGGCGGCACACGCAGGCAGATGGAGTCCATAAAAAGAGACTTGCTGCACACCCAGCCTCGCTACAGAAGGTGGAGCGGGATAGAGGCAACGGGAGCAGCCCCTACATGGGCCGGCGCCGCTGGAAAGCCCTGCGGAGCCTCCGCGCGCGGTCCCTCGTGGACAAGCCTGTGTCCCAGTGCCACACAGGACACTCAGTCACGCTGGTCCCCAGGGATGCACTCCAGGCAAGGGAGCAACAGGTAAAGCAGGGGGAAATAGCCAGTGTTTTACAGCTGCTTGCACACAGAAGGGGGTGGAAAATATCAGGTGCTGCTCTGCATATCTGCACTTGGCAGGTGTATTCATTAAATGTAATTATGCCTTTTATCAGGCCAGGCAGTCGTTCTAGGCTGGCATTTTAGTGTGCCTGAGTTTTGTTCACTTATCAAATATTTATTTAAGGAACCCTCACTGCGTACTCAGGTTTTACATGAATTAGCAGCGAGGCAATTCATTTGCAAGGCTTATTCCTTCGTCGGGCACACATTGAAATGGGCTGCAGCAGAGGCAGCTAAATGTCGCTAATAGGATATCCCATTTCTGCTTTAATTTGCAGTGCACGGGGGCAAGGAGAAGCAGCGTCTCCTCGCGACGCGTGTTCGTTCCAGCCCGCGTTCCCTCTCCTGCGCTCCCTTGGCTTCCCTGCCCTTGGCGGGCGGCAGCGAGGGAAGGCCACACTTCCATGGAAGCATGAGAGGATTCGGCCTTGGCCTATTCAAAACCAAGGAAGTGGGCAGTTCTACAGCCCAGAGACTCAAGCTCGTGTGGCCTTTCTACTGCTTGGCTTAACTATATTCCCTGCTTAAGAAGAGGATCCTACTGGCGAGTGAAGTTGGCTTTGTAGTTTAGCTATACTAAATTAACCAATAGCTCCTGCCGTGCGCCCTTCATGTATTTTTATTAACACAACGGCCTTGTTAAACAAGCGCCCAGTCTTCTACTTTTAAGGGCATTTGAAGTAGCAGCGTTTTATTTCAACTGTTACTGTATGCCCTTAAAGCCAACGGGCCCAACAGAAAGGCCTCACGTGCAAGTCATGTTCCATCTACATTTTGTCAGCTTTGAAAGGACCACATTACATGCAAGTGAAAAAGAAACCAACAACCTCACACCTCTTAATATGTGTAGGAAATAAGGTGCAGCCTCTCTGCTAAGAATCATAGAATCACAGAATCACTGAATGGTTGAGATTGGAAGGGAACTCCAAAGGTCATCTAGTCCAACCCCTGGCCCACGCAGGGTCACCTAGAGCATGTGGCACAGGGCTGCATCCAAGCAGGTTTTGAAGATCTTTTGAAGAACTATATGTGGCTTCTCTGATAGGGATATACAAATAATATATATTAAATATTATATATATATATATATAAATAAATGTAAAGACATATTTATTTATTTTCAAAGTAACTTCATGATTCCCATAAAAAAGAACAGGCAGCCCTAGGGCTTAATCCATCCTGGCTGCATCACCACAGCAGAGTTCAGTTCTCCTTGGCCTGTGAGTGACATTAGCACGTTTGATCGGGCCCAACAGCTTTTAGGTGGCTCAAAGCAGGTAAGATGAAACTCACCCTAGTCTTCACCTCTTGTTCTGTTTCAGTTTCTTCACTTTTTGCCCTCTTTGGGGCTACTCAGAGTTGAAAATAGAGGCAAGATGTGCAGCTCTTTGACAGCAGCATGGTCACGAGGGAGAAGGGCTTCGTTACATGTGTCTCTTGGAGAGGAAACCCACTGGTGCAGACCCAGCCAGTGACAACACTTGCTTTTACTTCATGAAATGTTTGACATTGAATTAACTCATTTTTAGTAATCTAAAACTGGACAGGATAGTTCCCTTAAACCAGTAGACTACTTACTTGTTTGGCAATCACTTCTTTTAATCACTGATCCATAAATCACCTTGTGGAACTGCTGGAAGCATTAGAACTGTGTCCATTGCAGAGCTACTCACAGCTGTGCTTTTTTTCAGAAATTATTAGAAATTTTCATATAAATTAGGATTTCTTTTCTTTTCTTAAAAAAATTTTGATTTTTCATGTAGTAGCTTCAAACCAATTACTTTAGATATCAATATTTGGTATCAACACAATGTGCAACTTTTGACTGGAACAAATGGAATAATGAAATTCTGCTTGCTTTCTTTTATGCTGTGAAATTTTGCCTTTTTTCTTTTATAAAAAAAAATTCTTGAGGAAAGAGATGGCCTTCCATTAGGAAGGACTCATCCCATTTGAAGTCGACTCCAAAAGCGAATAACAAAATAACACAGTTCCAGTAACGGCACGACCACACAGGAGGGAACACGTGCACAACACGCATGGAAAAACAAGTCTTTTCCTAATACGTGGTCACATCTTGTCAACCAAAGGAAATACTATGATGGGCCTTACCAGTGTGGCTTCGCTTGTGAACCATGAGCACATTGGGACCGATGCAAATTATCCCACAGATATCGCACTTTAGCTTTCCATTCGGAAGTCGAATGCCTCCAACGCCTGACATAGCCTTGCTGCCCGGGCCATCGTGCGAGCCATTCATTTTCTCTCCCGAGGGGTCAAGCATTCGTAAATCCTCCGCACATTCTTCCCCATTCATTTCACAGGCACGCCCATTCTCTTCATCACTCTGCGTCTCTATTTTAATGTTACCGGCTGAAAGACACAACACAGGAGGCCACTCAGTTTCGTCGCAGGGCAAAACCCAGTGGCAAAGAAACAGTCATGGCACAGGAGGTATTAACTTCTAGACAGACCATGCAGTGCACCTAAAAAACAGAAGCAACAAACATGACTGCATTCCTGTGGGCAATGCGATGAGTTGGTAACAACATGGAGTGAGGAACAACCTGGGAGACAAATGAGTCATGCACCTCAGGCCTGTTCCTAGGTCACTTTTGCAGCACCCGTGGTGACAATTTGGGCTAATTGGGATGGAATTCATAATGAAAACACATCACTTGCATTTTCCTGACACGAGTGAGTGCAAAAAAAAGTAATGTATCAAAGGTGAGGGATGAAAATGAATCGAAAAATGCAATGTTCTCCACTTGGCAGGAAAGCATGGAGGGCTGCACTGATCCCAGCCAGTTGTTTTGCAGGGCTACAGGGTTAACAGGGGCAATGGGAGTGAAAACAGCACAGAAACTGCTGCAGAATGGGGAAAGACGGAGGAAGCGGATAGAGCCAGGGCCAGCACGGGGATTAGAGCAGGGAGAGCGGGGTTTTTAAGGCAGCAGGGCGACAGCAGCTGGGTTCAGAGGAGACAATCCCTGCTGTCCTAAGCTACTGCCAAAAAAAGACCAAATCAGCAAGAGTGAATAGCACAGCAGATTATAATACGAACGTATTAAAATCTCGCTGTGGCCATTACTTCCAAATATAAATAAAAAAAAGAGGCATAAATAAATCTAGGCCAGTAGACTTTGTTTTAGGCCAACCCAGCAAAGGCCTGACCCTGGACAGGCTACAAAAAGGGCCAGGACTCAAGTCAGTTAATGCCGCTCTTCATTCCTCTTCTCTCCACAGGTCTGGATGATGTTTTATGTAGATTAGGTCGTCCTTACACTTCCTCCCCTCTTTTCCAATCACATGATTTCAGAGGAAAAATGAAATGTTTGCCAACGTGTTCTCTCCCTGAAGGGCCAGCTGGGTGCATGGGTGGGAATGACAGCAGGATCTGACTCCAAATACTACTGGGAAATGTGCTGAGAGAAAAGGCATTTATATTTCTGGCCACCTTTTAATAAAGTCCATCATTCTAGGCATTTTAACCTTTTTTTTTTTTTTCAAATATTGCCATATGTATAGAAATCATATCTAAAACAGAATGAGAACATGTCATAAATAGCAATTTCTCCTTTCAAATGTATGTGCTAAAAATGGGAATAATTTAGTAGTTCAGGAAAAAAATCAGTGACTCAAAAATGGTTTACCAAGATGGCTGAACAGAAATGGTCCAAATTATCCTACAAATTCTGTGGAATATAATCCTAAAATGCTCTTTTCACCGTGGTGAACACAAGTAATACAAGTATTCAGCTTAACCACAGTTTTTATTATCATACACTAAAGTTGTTCTCTTAATTATAAAACTAAGATTTTGTACATAAATATATTTAATTAAAAACATTACAGACCCACTTTCCTGCTAGGAAATTTGGAGAAGGTGGCTTTTGAAATAGACTTACTGTATTAAAACAGAATGTGTATGAACAAACCCCCAAAGACTAGGACTACCGAAGTCCATTGGTAGCGTATGCATGCAAATGTAACTTACTGAAAACTGAAATGATGGGGGAAAACAATAAAACCACAGAAGTAGGAACTAGATGGAAATGCTCTGTAGTGAATTGAGTTTTCAGCATACTTACGGGAAAAAGATTTGGGAATTAATGCATGAAAGTCCCTAAAGCCATCTGCCCCGTATGCAGCTGCAATAGAGAAGGCAAACAGGATGCTGGTTGGTGGCACTGCTAACAGTAAGTGCCAAAGCAGGTGGCATTATCGCTACAAGAGACAGACCTGAGAGAGAGGCAGAGCTATCACCACAACAGAACACTAGCAGTTTGGGACAGAGCACAGGAGGGCAGCTGGGAGAGGAATCCTAACCTGAGACCCAACAATTCTCCCTTGCAAAAACTCCGCTTTTCCAAAGCAGCCACCAGGTTTTACAAGGTTTTGCAAAGGCATAAGGTCTCCTGGGTATTCCCCTTGCAGGTCAACTCCTACTATGCTGCTTTTGGCCGCTTTCCTTGTACACGGCACATCTTTTCTTTGTATGAGCTGGGATCTTGTCACCACAGTTATAAAAACTGAAATTGCTTCTTATTTTTTTCCTTTCTTTGTTTTTTTTATTCTCACGCCTGCCGATCTTACGTAGTGGAATGGAAGGGAGGGAGATTGTGTAGAAGTTATTGTGTATATCATAGAATAATAGAATCACAGAATGCTTAAGGTTGGAAGGGACCTCAGAGGTCATCTAGTCCAACCCCCCTGCACACGCAGGGTCACCTAGAGCATGTGGCACAGGGCTGCATCCAAGCGGGTTTTAAAGATCTCCAAAGAAGGAGACTCCACAACCTCTCTGGGCAACCTGTGCCAGGGCTCTGGCACCCTCACTGTCAAGAAATGCTTCCTTAAGTTCCTGTGGAACTTTTGGTGCCTCAGCTTGTGGCTGTTTCCTCTAGTCCTATCGCTGTCCACCACTGAAAAGAGGCCAGCCCCCTCCTCCTCACTGCCTCCCTTGAGGTATTTATACACACTGATCAGGTCCCCCCTCAGCCTTCTCTTCTCCAGGCTGAACAGACCCAGCTCTCTCAGCCTTTGCTCATAGGGCAGATGTTCCAGGCCCCTGATCATCTTCCTAGCCCTGCGCTGGACTCTCTCCAGCCGCTCCATATCCCTCTTGTACTGGGGAGCCCAAAACAGATATCAGGGCATTTCTTTCTGTTAGCGTTTCTAGGGTCATTTTTCCAGTGTCTCTACATAAAAGCAGCGGCACAAACACGCAACCCTGCAGCTAACACAGGCACAATAACGTGGCTCGTTGCTTGACCCGGGCCCTGACCCTCGCCCAGCCCGCCTCCCTTCGCTAGGCCTTGCTGCGGCCTGGCCCTGGGCCCGGCAGAGCTCAGGGAGCAGCCATCGCTGCGCAGCGCGGGCCTTTCGTGGCAGGCAGGTTCCTGGACCTCCCTTTCTCCAGAGGGAAAAGTTCGTCCATTCTTGAGGCACAAATACTGTGCCAAATACCTGGCAGTCTGACCCCGGCACATGCTCAGCATTAGTGCAGGCTTCTCAGGCAGTTACTCAATGCTGTCTTTGCAAATAGGATGGCCGTGCACGTGCGTGTCTGCACACACACGCAGGCAGACATTAATTAACTCACCAATAATGCACGATAATCATCTCTTGTTCGTTCTGACAACATTAAGACACTGCTACTTGATTAATTGGTTCATATTCGTTTGCAGGTGACCTTTTAAGTCCTTAAAAGGCTCTATATTTTACTCTACATGGACAAGCTAGCACAATTCAGTGGTTTCTCTTCCTTTTCTACACCAGGTCATTTAACTGGAATCTACTTGTACTGCAAGGAATCAACAGTGTCGTTGAACTAGCAGCTCTTCCCCTCACATGCCCATTTACTTAGCCATATTGTGGAAAAATTGCCCGAAAGCAGGGCACTGGTGGATGCCTTGTGCATCCTGACGTGTACTGGGAGCTTCTTGTGCATATCTAACATGTACTGGGACCTTCGGCAGGACTTTCTGCAGCACTTAGAATTTGGATCACACAAAACTGTTTCATATCCCACGCTAAGCAGTGGCTTATGCAAAAGTCCTTGAAAAAAATAAATACATAAAATAAATAAATAAAATATAAGTCAAAGGGAAGGGGGATGACAATATGATTCTTTTGTATTGACAGTTCCAGGCCCCTTTTTTTCTGGGGAAGGATAGCATAGCTGGGGGAGCCAGGCTGGGACGCCTGGGAAGGAAGGAAGGAAGACGAGGAGATTGAGTCACACTTCCCTAGAAAGAGTTGAGCAACGTGGAGAGGGAAGGGAGGTGTTTTGCAATGAGTAAGAGTCCAGTAGCAAGGAGAAAGGAGAAACCAAGAGGACTGCTTGGGAAACAGGATTTGGAGGCCAGCTTTTATAGGGCAGAGAGAAAGCCCCTTGGAAAATAAGGCATGGGGAGGACTAGTAACTTGCTTTCAGCTCAGAGCCACTTTCCCACCTCTTTTGCCCTCTCTTGCAGCTACAGGATTCCCTCCCAAATGTAAAATCCTTTCAGTGACTTTGGCAGTTTCACATATTTAAGTACTCCCATTTGAAAGGGGGCACTCATCTCCCAAGTTATTTTCTTCTCAGATGGGATTTTTAGATAGGATTTAGACATAAGTCAGAGCATTCCAAGGAAATGAGGGAGCAAAAGGAAAGACAAAACCCTACTAGGCTTTCCTTAGTACTTTAGCTATAGGGATACCCAGCAGCCTTTGATTGTTTTAATCATCCATCTATGTTTCCTTTACCACTTTTATCTCACTAGGTACTTAAATGCATCTTGTGGCATACAAATGCCCCTAGGAAGTTCTCCTTTAGCCTTTCTTTGAAAATAAATATGATAATCTAATTTTTGGACAAGAGGTTACTCCACAGAATGCTTCACTCAGGCTTTGCAGCCAAGAGAAAGAGGCAAAGAAGAGGCCTCTTGAAGTTGTTGCAAGTAATTTGGGTGCATGCAATATTTGGTTTGAATGGCTCATTTGTTATTCCAATACAAGTCAGAAGTATTTTGCTGCTATTAGTTGATGCTTGAACGATAGTTTTAAAGTCCAATGAGAGGTTTGCATAAAGACATCGTAACCATTCAAGCAGTAGACCTGTAGTTCTGCCAGTTATTTCCATTATAAGAAGTAACAGCTATCCTGTTTTGTTTCAGTGCACCAAATCTTAGCACTTGTGAACAGAGATCCAAACCTTGACCCTTTTCCCTCTATGCCCTCTGTTCTCAGAACAGGAACAGCATCGCAGATGGATGATGCTTTTCTCAGAAATACAAGGCACACAGACAAGTTATCTATCCACAGAGTAAGGACTCAGTATCTAGTGGCAGGTCTTGACTACAAAGACCAGCCATTTAACTTCAGCT